AAATGAATTTTGCCCCCACTAGAAAAGATTATGGTGCTTAAAGGGTCATCCGACAAAAGATTTGAAGGATTGATCAAGCCTTGTAGAGAATCAAACTCTAAGCACTTGTTTGATTCTCTAAGAACTCTAGAACACAATGGAAAAGGAATATGGAAGAAGATGGTTTTTTCTTTTCTTTCTTCTCTCTTGTTTGATCTTATAAACATGTAATTTATAAGTGTTTTTCATACTATTTGATGATAAAAAAAAATCACCTATTTATAGCCATGCAGCATAGCTTCACGAAGTGGTGCCAAAATAAAGTTAAAGGCTGCCAAAAAACCATCCAAACCGACTCCAACAGTCACCGAACTTATACCATGCGACCGCATGGTTAGTTTGAACCGAGGCCATTTGGCCTCTGTGGTTGCCATGCGACCGCATGGCTTTTTAGCATGAAGCCATACGGTCGCATGGTTTTGAACAACCATCACACGAGCTCCTCATTTTTGCCCGGACTTAAGAGGAATTCTATTGATTGATTGACATCTTACGAATTTTTATCCTTCTATTGAATCTCTTCTACTATATTCATAATCTTCGTCATCGTAATGAACTCAATGCATTATCAACTTACCGGGCATCCAAACTTGGACGGTTCTGGTACTTTAGCTCTCGAATTACGTGGATAACTTAAACGGACAAGAAGATTTAAGGTAAATCAAGTTCTGTAAGAAACCTGAAAATATAGGGAGATGAAACAAATCATAAGACAGGTTTTTTTTTTTTTTTTGTTCAAGGTAGGAACCTCATTCATGAATATGTGTTTATGCACAATGATCCTCATGAAAATTTAATCAATGGTTTAAACATAATATATACTCATTAGAATATACATTTCTCCGATGTATTGTTTAATCAAAAAAGGTGTGATATGACCAATAAATTTTAGGAAGTTACCTGTAAAAATTACAAGACCAGTACTCGACACTCTTGCTAAATCCGGAAGAGTCTTGTTCATGAAATCTAAAGTGTCCGATATAACAACTAGGGAAAATGATTTAGCCTAGTATGGTAGGGAGAACTTAATATCAGCTATAATAACCCAAATGGTCACTAAACTTTGCAAAAAAAATTTCACGGAGTCATCAAACTTTAAAAATCACTCAAGTTATCATTGAATTTTGCAAAAGGTTTACACGGGTTCATTGTGTAAGTATTATGCCCTAGGTCCAATCAACTTTGGACATAAATATTTTTGATATATAATTAATGCAATTTAATGACAGATCTATTATTTAATTAATAGACAATTAAATAAATAATAGAGTTCATAGATTCAAATTTTCGTAATTTGTTAATCACAAGGAGTTGTGATTGTGAGATACAAATTACATGTGATTGAATTTTAAATCGTCCGTGGTCGTAAGTAATAACGAGATACGATATCGTTATTATGGATAGACCATCACGTGTGGCATTTCTTACTTTTGAAGTAAGTTGCTGATCTCACAAGTTAAAGTATGGTGACACTTAAATGAACACATGGATGTTTTGTTATAGAACAAAACATTGGAAACCAGGCGAGAGATTCCACATAGATAACTATCTGAGTGTCAGTGGTTAATATCTAACGTTCGGTAGTGGAATTGGTCATTTGACTTGAGGTCGTCATGGTACCTTATATGAGGACAGTTATACTTTGGCGGTATTGGATGTTGCTATGCAAAGGGCCGCTAATACGACATTGTTCGGGTACGTCAAGAATAGTATGAAGGTTGTGATTGATCAATAAAGGATTCGTCACTCTTAGATAGTAGGAGATTATGATCTGCGTTACATTCAATTAAGTCGATGATGAAATCCTTAGCCAAGGTGTACTCATAAGTCGAAAAGAAGTTTTCGACTTATATTGACTTAATAGTGGAGTGAAAGATATGATCGATATTCGAGACTGACACACTTCCATATCTCGTAATTGATTGGATCATATTGACAAAGGGATTGTAGTTTCATGGTAAACGAACGAGTTTGGTTTTTTCATACTACGTGATATTTTCCGTCACATGTATTGCCCTGACACATTGTTAGATGACAATAAATTAAAATGGTGTTTTAATTTATCAATTTTGATTAGATCAAAATAATATTTCACATCGTTAGGCATCGTGATCGGGAACCTGATGGGTTACACACAAAAGAGAATTGAAAGATTGCAATTTTTCAATTAATTAATTTAACAATCGTTGGATAAATTAATTAATTAGGTTGGTTATTTATAGGCTCGAATTAATTAATTGGATTAATTAATTCACGGAACGGATTTAATTAAATAGATTAATTAAATATTGGAGTGGATTGGGTCAGGCCCGTTTAGGCTTATATAAATACATAGCTAGGGTTTTCAATCCATATGATTTTTCTCATAATTATTCTTACTAGCACAAGAAGAGAAAATCCTGGTAGTTGCAATCTTGTTCTCTGTGTGGACAACTATTGGAGGCTGGACAATTGGACAACTGTGGATGACGAATCAATATTGCAGGAAGAAAAAGAAAAGCAAAAGGTTTTCAGAATTCTTCAAATGTACAATCTTTATCACGATTTCTATCTAAACACAAAAGGATCCTCAGTGGGAATCGAAATAATTTTAATTTTTCGATGTGCATGTATAAGTAGATTCCCAACACATTGGACTTCAAAAATCACTTCATTTGTGATTAACTTTTGCAAAGGATTTCAACGGAGTCACTAAACTTTGTAAAAAATTTCCCAAAGATCACTGAATTAGTGTCCCTTGGGAAGCTTTTTGCAAAGTTTAGTGATAAATGTGATAATTTTTAAAATTCAATGACCTCGTGGAAACCTTTTGCAAAGTTCAGTGATAATTGAGTAATTTTCAAAGTCCATTGATCTCGTGAAAACTTTTTGCAAAATTCAGTGACATTTGAGTTATTAACTCACTATGCACGCTATGCCCTTATGCACTAAACTTTTGCAATTCCGATCAGCATCTTCTACATCATACAGCCCAAAACCCCATGCTTCGGTTTCTTCTTGTTTTAACAATTTCGAGACCACTGAACACGTACTGGTCCAATGTGCAAAACTTTGCGAATCCTGTCACCGTATGCTTGCCTTTACATATGGCATTGCCCTTTGAACTTCTGATGAGCGGGTGAAATCACCTATAAAAGTTATAAAATTAGTGCTTAGTTGGGCTCGGTTTCTACTTTCTATCGTACCATGATAAGTATGATCAATAATGAGTTCAAAGTTTTACCTTTTTTGACCCTCGGGGCACAGCTCAACTGGTGGATCAATCAACATTGTCTTGCTTCCAACGGCAGGGTGGAGAGTTCGATTCCTGGTGGGAACCTGCGGCCAAAAAAAATTGGTATGGAGCAATCACTGTGGAGGAGGGTCTCTTGTACGCAGAAGTGTACAAGCAATGAGGGGAACCTGTGATCCAGTTGAGGCATAACCCGCGATTTACTCCTTCCAAGGTTCTAGGGGCAAGGGTCTTAAGGATCCAGGATTTAGTTTGGTGTAAGTTGAGATACCTGGATATCAAAAAATAATAATAATAATAATGAGTTTAAAGTTTTACACCTTCAATCCTAGCAAGTGATTCCTTGACCCTAGCACCACCTACATCGAGAATGATGACGAGTTAGTTGATACATAAGAACGAAATGCTTAGGTAAGTATCTCTCAACATTTTAGCTTCTTTTTACTATTTAATATTGTCGAGTGTTAGCCAATGCTTGTTATAAACGTGTACTTAGTTTAATGAAACGACGAAATAGAGAGAGATGAAAATATAAGATGTTCCAAATACTGGGAAGGGAGTCCTACAATCAAGTAAATACCTGAGCCACGCAGAGTATAACCAACAAAGAGGATCAAGCACCCCAGGGCACATCTCCAAGTGGTAAAAGGGGAGGGTGGAGAAATCCAGCTTTGTTTGAGGCTGCCGCGTCAAGGGTTCGAATCCTGAAATATGGATTTGGCTCTTGGGTAAGTGCAAGTGTACAAGCAGCCTTCCACTCTGTACCCTTGGAGGCATAACCTGTGATTTACATCCCTCACGATGCTCCAGGGCGGAGGCGGTGGGGGACCCTTAAGGTTGGGGTTCAACCTTTTAACAAAGAGGATCAAGCCCTGGAAAATTTAGTACAGAAGCATTTCAGCATTTGAAACAGCAGTAAATCGTGTACGACCTTAATCAGGAAGATAATGCTGCAACTACCAGGAACATGAGGGTTTTGGATAATAATCGATGGGAACTCGATTTTGGATGAAAAATTCCCCCGAAAATTGCGGTACCAATACCACCGCTGAGTCGAATTTGTTGGCCTTCACGACATGGCTAAAACAATGTTGCACCCCAGAAAAATTCACACTGATGCAAAATAAACGAAGATAAAATTTTGATTGCAGTTTACTAATATAGAACAATTTGATTCAGAACAATGAGCGGAAATAGCATAAACAAAAATCTTATTTATTTCTGATGAGATTCTTGAACACAAGTTATATTTATTAAACAATGGATTTTATAATGTGGATAATGGCACGAAATTCTTTCCGGAGAATAGTACTTGATCCTGAATGGAATAGTAAAATAGCAAGAGAAAAATATAATTGCAAACAAGAGTGAATGGTGAAAGAAACCTTAATAGGAACAAAACCTCGGATCAAACAAAGAAAAGGATAAGAGTGGATCATGGATCTAAAAGTCTGCTTCAATGTGTAAACGCTGGTAATGGGATCACGCAAGTTGGTTGGGAAGGAATAGGAAGATACGCGAAGGCATGTTATTTTAGGAATATTAATCCTTACAAATGACGTGTGTCGGCAGCCATAATCTGTGCTAATCTTTTTATTTGAATAATGATAGTCTAGATGACAATTAAGTGAATATACCATGCTAATTTGCCAAATACACTAACAAGCACACATGTTGGGTCAAAATGTTCGTTCTAGATATGCCACCCAAGACACACTAGTTTACACCTCTACAACTGCCTAAAGTTCTCGAATGGAGAGTAGAGATGAGCACTAGACAATGTGTTCGGCAGAAATTTCATTTTCAGTAGATTTACAATAAAACTGGAGTGATTCTCCCTATCTGAAAAAGAAATACAAATCACCGTATAAAACAGTTCACGTCTCATTGTGGTTTTATGTATATAATCAAAAGCCAGTGGCACGAAAACTATTCTCATTTAGACATGCCATCGCTGGATTAAAGAAACAAAACTCTTAGAATTTAAAAGCCACTAAAACATCTCTCAATACTCGAGAGTCCCATCTGTTATTACTATCATGGAAGCACAGCTTTGATCAGTTACTACTCTCCACAAACACGTTGCATTTTTATTCCC